TGCTTCTGCTCGTGGAGAGCTCCACAGTTCACTGTCCCCCACACACACAAAATATATTTCTCATCCTCTAAACCAGAACATCTGATTTACAAGAAACAGGAATAATAAAAAACAAAACAAAACAAAACCAAAAACAAAAACACCAAAACCAAACCAGAAATATTCAGGGCACCGCAACACTCGGATGCTCCCCTGCAAGGCTCTCGCCAAGGCAGAGGGAAACTTTCTACCCTGCTTCTGTGCTGCGAGTGAACTCATATTTGTGTTTCCAATAAAGAGCCATTTTTACATTAACTGTCTGGAACAGCAGGGAATAGGAAAACTAACACAATCTTTACCTCGTACAAAGGATGATATTGGTGTCACGTGTTTGCTTCTTCAAAAAACGCTATTTATAAAAGGGAATGGGGAAAGCAGGGAAACTATTGACTCTTCTCTGCATCCCCACGCGAGCAGCATTAGAGCAACTTTTTGATCCCCTACGTTTTTTTACATTTTTTCCCCCCCGAGAAGTAAATTTCACAGCCGCACAGGCCACCGCCTTTAATTAAGCTTTCAAAAGTCTTCTGACAATGCCAACAATTGCAAGACACTTCTAGAGCTCAATCATGCAATCATCATGACACTTCTATTTACAATTTGTCTTAGAAAGAGTTTCTCTGACATTGTACTTTGACAAAACAGCCAAGCTGCCGGTTCACAACCTTTCTCTGTCTTATTTACAAATACAGCTTGTACGCAGCGCTCCAAATCTCGGGAGCGGGAGCCTTTGGGCAGCACCCTCACTATTTTTCCTGCTTGCCATATTTTACCCAGCCTGTGCCCTCTGTTTCTTTGTATGGGGAAAGCAGAGAGAATCTGACTCCAAAATATGCCCACATTCCCCATTCTTTCTCCCTCTCTATCTTTAAGCTCTCATCTCATTGTCCAGATGCAATGATAACTATTCAACGCAGACAGCAATATTATTTTTTTTTTGCCTCCAGAACAAAACAAAATGAGGAATCACCATTCAAAACCTACAGAATTATAATGGCAACTACTAATAACAGCCCAAGAAAATTTCTGCTCAAAGACATTATCTCCTGAGAACTGTAATAATCAAATATACTCGGTCTGAAATTTAGTACCAAATAATATCCACCTTCCCCCGCTTGCTGCAGACAGAGGGTTTTCTTACATGATTTTCCCCACGTGTTTTATTTGAATGCCACGAGCAGCTTGAGAATATAGGATTCGAGCAGAAAAAAATGACCTCCCCTCCTCCTCCTCCCCTCTTTGTACAGTAAATACAGCATCCACGGATACACACTCGGCATTATACAGGGGAATACGCAGCAGCACTCCAAAGTGTTCCTCCAACTGCATCCAAGTAACATTTAAGCTCCTTCCTCACCCAAACCCCAACCTTTCATTAATTCCCTCGGATTTATACACTCAACAAACAAACCGCTAAAAACCCGACACGGGCGGACGATAAATATTTCTCCAGCCCTTTCAATAAGTGAACAGCAATTTTACATTCACTGATCTCCAGATACTTCAGTTAATATTTCCCCCTATTGTAAAACACGAGAGCGGATAACTAAAGCCCCGCCGTCGCCCTCACTGCAAATCACGGGCTGCCGGTATCTGGTGGTGAGGCTTTGACATACATATTGATGAAAGCTGCCTCGTTGGACCCACACAACATATCCTATTAATTTTCAGTTAAATTTATGGCGTTTCAGCTCCAGCGCTGGATCAGCATCACTCAAAATTTTTACAGCAAGGCAGAGCTATGGGCAGGCAGACACCCACATGGAAGAGCCAGGTACCTACACATGCCTGCACCCACACGGATCTCACGGCTCCTGCACAGGTTGCACACACACATATAAGCTCCTGTACTCATCCCTGCCTCTGGAAAACGGTGAGGATAAAGAGCAGCCTAGCGACGCTTAAAACAGACATCATTTCTCCCTGCATTTGGATGATTCGCTGCCTTCCTTCCTCGCCTGTAGATCCTTAACCATTACTTATCTTAAGATGATATTTTACTGTAACACCCCAAGTTACCGACTACAAAACTGCCGGCAGAGCACATACCACACCCAGAGCTCACCCACCTCTGTATCCAGGGCTAACCTGGAACTCTTTCAGCCTCACAACTAATCGGGAACATTTTTACAGTGCTACAAAATACATACCTTCTGGTTTCTTACCAGAAAGAATCACTTCCCCCAACTTCTGTGTGTTTTTCTATAGGCAGCCTGTGTCTTTTTTGTACTTTTTAATAACACACTCATATCTTTAGCTTTTTGCATTCTTGCACAGAAATCAGACATAAAATAGGAGAATTGGAAGAGCCTGAGGTTCACTGCAGGGGCCTTCCAGAAGCCTGAACTCCACAGCTCAGACTCAAAGACCCTCATTGGTAATTTTACTGCCAGACCCCACAGACTACTGGCTACAAGCAATGGGTCACTCCAGCTATCATCACACTTCTTCATGACACAAGGGATCTGAACTCATCCAGGTGAAAGGGGAGATGAAAACACAAAGGGTAGGGATAGTGCAAGATCCCATAACTCCTGATGCACCTTCTCCCCTTCCCATAGCCAGGCTGCATTTCCAACCAACAGGAACAACCAAGTGTCCCTTGGTTCTGGCCCAGACAAGAAGGTGCAGAGGACCTGCACTCTTGGACCTCCTGTCCACCAGCACAGCTGGGCACCACCACACAAAAAACCTGCGGCAGGAGAGCCCTGACAACTGCAATTTGGTCTCTGCCCATCACCACGGACCCTCCTGCGCAGCACCGAGGCCGCTCCCAGCTGGGCCCGCCCGCAGAGCAAAGGTGATCCCAACAAGTAAGAGCGAGCAGGATCAGGCCCCTGCCAGTGCGCACCTCTCCTCACCCACTGCCTCTGCTCACCAAACCATTCACAGTCAGTTAAAACCACGGCCCTTTCGGAATTAACAGCCCCCTGACAGCACATGAGCCCCAATCCTTCTCGCTTCGCGTCACCCGCGCCACGCAAAACGAGACTTGGCTCGCTGAGTCTCCCGCGCCAACCGAACACCAGCGCAAAACCCCCAGTGGAGGAAATCCCCCTCACGCAGAACTCCCCGGTGTGTCCATCCCTCCAGCCCAAGGACCTATTTGGGACCACAGGGAGGACAGTATGTTTTAATTCTTGCTTGACAGACGCTGTGTTTTGTCTTTTCAGCAGAGCGGCGCCGTACGTAAATACAGCGTTACATCACACCGCCGCTCCTCCATATTTGGTGATTTAGGATGGCTCCAGAGCTCGGAAGACTACAAATCCCTTCTGCCAGGCTCTTGCTTCATTAATCATGCCCTACGCTTCTGCTCGTTTCCCGTCAGATCACAGGCAGCACATGGAAATGGGCACTGCCCTCTACCACTCTGGGAAAAAACACCTTCAACATCCATGTCTGGGAAGCGCAATATGGGGAATTTTTGGGGTTTTTAAGTCTCACTCAAAATGCAGCTTAGCAGTAGCTGAGCCTCTGCAGAAACAGTACGGACTCGCCCACACGCCGTACGCGTGTGCACGCACACGGCTTTGCACACGGACACGTGCGCAGACAGACACACACACCCCCCAACACTTATCTGCTGCCACCACAAAACCTCTTAAAACTCCAGCTCTCCAGCACGATTTGACGGTCGGTTTGGATAAGCCAGGGAGGCTGCGGGAGCATCCCACTGAACCTCCCTGCGCCTACTGCCCTATTATGGTTTAACTCTGTGGCCAAAGCAAGCCCAAGACAAGCTCCAGCACATCATGTGATGATGTACTGCGCCTCCGACAACCCCGAGCGGTCCTGTGGGCTTCCAGAAGAGAGGTACCGGCAGTGCCACATCCCAAACACCGCTGGAGGGGAGTTTGAAACTGGTTCAGGCATTTGTTGGTGTTGATACACTGCGGTCTTGCCTTTTTCAACCAGCAGTATTGGCGCGGTTTGAAGTGATTTGCAACGCTCGCTGCAAATGGGTAGTACTTTTGTTTACTAGCAGGGTTTTAAAAGCAGAGCGTGCCTTGTTACACTCCCAGGGCTCTGGGATTTTCTTTCACATGGTACACTCTTATTTTTTTGACCTCATTTGTGAAAATATCTGCACAGCAAATGACCCTCCTTTTTTTAAAAAAAAAAAAAGGCACTATGAAATGGTATTATTCACCCTATTTTTTTAAAAAATCACATTTCATATTGTTTGTTGCACAAAACAGAACTCTGCCTTGGACATTTGTACGGCTGACATGTGGTTGTGTAAACCGCAAACAAAATCAAGATACATCTGTCAAAACCACATCAGAGACAAGAGAGAGCACAGCGAAGCATTTATCATTTGGCTGAGGAGGCAGGCTGCAGAGAGCAGCCTTTCCTGTCAAACCAACCTTTTGAAATTTCCAACATGCCCTTAAACTTTCCGAATAAGCATGTCTGTGCGCTTCAGCAACTGCCCTCTCTACTCTGGCCTGGCCAGTCGAAAATGGCATCTTAAAGTCAAGGTCGGTGGTGTCACTTTGCCATGGGGCTGTGTTTAATTACAGTCCATACGCTGACAGCCAATATGGAACCAAGGCTGGCTGATGCTCGGTTAACTCTTTCACCCCTGACTTTGCCAAAGACTTGAAAGCTCCTCGCTCTGTCGCGCGGAGGGCTCTGAAACCTCCTCCCGCAGCGCTACGGCAGGAGAGACACCGGGAGACGGTGGCTACAATACAGGCAAATCACGAGAGCGGCCTCAAACAATACCGCTGGAAACATCGGCTGGCACGGCACGTGCCTGTTGCTCCTGCCGCTGCGCAGGCACTAGGAAATACCACTCACCACCAACCCAAGGCAGGGAGGGTACTGAACACACCACGGGCCCGTCACGGCGAGCAGAACACAGACAGACACAGCAGTTCGCAACTGCCAACACGCTACGTTTGCAACTGAAACGGAAATAAAACTCGCAAACACTTCTCCTTGCTTTAATTTACCTGCTATATGTTCCTGTTTAGGGCAAATTCCTCTAGATGACGTTGATAAACAATCGTCATCCTCTGGCGTAACCTGGATGCCAACCTCCACAGGATTGGATGCTTTTTTCAGCTCACTTGGTGAGGGTGAAGGTGGCTTATCCACAGCCTTCTCTAGGCAGAGACTGCCATTGCATTGTTTCCGTTTGTGCTCAATAAAAATAAGAATGTCCCCCAACGGAAAGTTCATCTGACACTGGCCACAAGTGAGGAGGTCGTGGTCCCCTTCCGGAGCTCCCAATGTGCCATGTTCAGGTTCGTCATCAGTGAGAATGGCTTCAAGAGGTTCGGCTGCAGTTTGAGAAACAAAAGGAGAATCATTAGAGCTCTCGGGAAAGGCACCGGGCGCAGAGGGGGGGGAGGAACGCGCCGAGCCCCCTCTTCATGAATATTACACCCCGCTCTCCACGTCCGCCTGCTCCCCCCCCCCAGCTAAAGCCATGCAACACGGCTGTCAGCACGGCAGCGAGGGGATGGATTCATCAGTTACGGGGAAGAGGTTTGGCAGAAGCAGCTGTAGCATGCAGAACTCGGGAGAGCGAGCACCGCAACTGTCCCCGTGTTCCTACACGAGGGCAAATTTCTGACTCGCCGAACCGTTCGGTGCTAAAATTGAACGAACAGGCTGGAATAACTGCGAAACTCTCGTGCTACTACGAATACGGTGTTTTATTGCTGGATGCATTATTTATGTATATGAATCCAAGGCTGAAAGCACTGCACACACACACACACACTCTCTCACACCACATGGGTGTGTATCTTCCACGAGCCAGACCCACTTTCTGAAATTCAGAAGCCTGAAATACAGCGTAGACAAAAGGTGTTTGAATATACACAGATATCGCATATTCCCTGTCCAGGCCGTGCAGGAAGCGTGTGTATGTGTGGAAAAGAAAAGAGAGGGAGAGCCAGCCCGCATGGCCACACACACCCGGGCACCGACACCCAGGGCACACACAGCCCTCAGAACACACGTGCACGCACATACGTATGGATTTGTGTCACTGTCCCTGTCGGCCTGTTTGCGGCTTCCAATTGAAAAAAAAAAAATCTAAAGGCAGTAGTTATTCGTGGGGGAGGGAGGGGATGAGGCAAATAAATAAATAAATAGATAGATAAATAGATGGCAGAAACCAAAATGATAAAAAGCAAGTGCAGTAGAAATGCCTGCGGGGCTGGGGGGGAGGCACCTCTCACTTTTCAGCTACTCCTCAGGATTCAAATAAATAGCAAATTCACCACCGAGTCCACCCAGAGATATTAAATGGATGGGATATTTTCTAGTACTTAAGGAAACAAGGCAATCAGTCATTTTGTGCTTTTTAATCCTGAAATAAGGGAATGCCTAAATTATCTTGAGCGTGTTAGCACTGGTGGCCCTCAGCATCTAAAAATCAGCCTGGCCAAGCAACTGCCACATTTCCTCGCAACAGTGAGAAGCGCCTTCTTTAAACTCAAAATACCTTGCCTAATGTTGTCAAAGTTGACAAATTTTCTGAATGAGCTCCAAAAAGCTTCATTATGAGGCTATTTCTGCTCACAGAATCGTCAGTGGATGCTCTAACGAGGCAGATTCGGCTCTCTTTTCTGTTGGCTTTTTTTTTTTTTTTAGGTTAAATTTGCAGAGAAATACCTTGGCAATCTCTGTGCAGTCTCCACCGCTATTGCCTTTCACGAGGTAAAAAAAAATAAATACCAGCAGCGTGTTGGTGTTCCTCTGCCTGCGCAATACAACACGCAGGCTAACAGCAGTGAGCAGGGGGAGAGGGTACTACAAATACAGCCCACCTCAAAACACTGCCAGGTAATGCAAGAGAGACAGAATACAACTCCTAAACAGTTAATCAGCCTGACCTTCTTTAGCTGGCTGCCAATTTCACATTTAATGAACTTAAAGCCACAGAGAATCAAAAAATAGATTTTAATTTGACTGCACAATATTGGAACTGATTTTGATAAAGTGCAAAAATCCAGTGAACTCAGGTTAAATTTATTTCAACCCTACCTAGGCTGAATATTGAGGAGGAAGATCTGGAGTAGCTCCCAGTTGTGCTGCGTAAAATAATATTGAAAGAGCACACTACCTCGCCGTACCTCAGCTCCAACTAGGACACAGGGATCCAGTCCATCATTTCTTGCCTCTAGTACTACTTCTAATTTAACGTAAGGTCAACCACAGGAATATGAAGGTTACATTCGCATTAATAAAAACAACGTCTTAATCGCTGGGGTTTTCTCCTAAACTTACAGACCGACAGGAGCAAGAGGCAACAACGTGCGTGCGTCTCACACTCCTCGGGAAGCCGGGAGAGGAGCAGGGTGTTTCTGCGGGATTGCCGGGGCATGGCTGTTTTTCCTCCCCAGCCGTTCCTTGCGTTCGGACCGAGAGGGAGTAAATTATTGCAGGACTAATTCCACCAGTAGCTCGCTGCACGCCGCAGACAAAGGTATTTTGCGAATCTAAGTTCGAGCTCGGCGACCCTCCGCAGCAGAAGACACAAAACCACCCGTATTCCCCTCAGAACTGGCTTAGCGAGGAGCTCTGCATAATCATTACTCAATTATAATGTTTTCCCGCGGCCTGATTCCTTTCTGACGCTGTCACTATTATTTAGCAGGGGAAGGTAACCCGCTGCTTCAACACCAGACAGTTAAAAGTAGCGCTGAGCAAAAATAGACTTTGCTAAAAGTCTGTACGGACTGGGCTGATTTACAATCAAAACCAGGAAATGAAGTGGTAATTCAGAGGTTGCTGATTACACCTCCACATTTCACCTAATTAATTTTATAGGAGGCAAAGTTCTTGAAAATAACAAGATGATCAAATGTACAGATATAAAATCTGTAACCTCAACATTTTCTATGCTCTTAACGTAAATTATTGCTAATTAACAAGAATTATATACTAATGTATGAAATACGGCTGGCACCGTGTTCGCTGCAAAACATTTGGCTCCTGGTGGAGGCAGAGCCGACAAAAAATATGCTTTTTATTATGACTGCTACTTTTAAAACAAAATGTAAAATACCGGGATTACAAAGAAAACACCGGAATACAATTCACCTGGTCTTGCCTCCGATATGCAGGATCCATCTTTTAATTCTGGGGCAATCAAAATTCCCTGCCTGGGTCCCTAATCATCCGTCTCTATTTTTCATGCAAATTGCCCTTCCACCAACATGTCTTTTCAGCTTTCCCCCTTCGCCCTCCTACTCCCCCCTTCTTCCCCCTGTTCCCAGTCGCCAAAACAACCGCACCGGCAAAAGCGGGATGGCTTTTGGAGTGTCGGGAGAAAGGAGGTACTGGGGGTGATGGGGCGGGGAGGGGGGGATGCCACGGTACGGTGCGGGGAAATGCCCGCGGGGCAACGCGGATGCGCTGTCGGGGCATTTCCCCGCACCGTACCGTGGGAAGGATGGAGAGGGGTTGTTTAATCCCAAGTTTGCGTCCTGGGATCGTGCGGTGCAAGGAAAAGACTTGGGGGTACAATGGGAACCGCCAACACGTTACGGGGGAGGGAGGGGAAACCCGGGGAGGGGGAAGGCGAGCATCCCCCGCTGCCTCCCGGAGCAAGCAAACTCCGCGCAAAATTAAGAACAAAGAAGGAGAAGGAGGGGGGCCGTGGGGGGGTGGAGGGGAAGGAGCTGGGCGCCCTCCCCCTCCCGCCGGCCGGGAGGCAGCGGCGGAGCCGGCCAGGTTCAAGTTCGCGGGGCTGCCCGGTTGTTTGATCTCGCTGTGCCTCCTAGCGACCGAATCGGGCACGGAGCCCGCCCGCCGCCTCCGCCGCCCCGGCCCCGGCCCCGCCGCCGCA